GGACGGCCCTTAGCAAAGGGCCCCGGACCTCGTACTCCCGGAGCACCCCCCACAGGGCGCTGCGAGGGACACGGTCGAATGCCTTCTCCAGATCCACGAAACACATGTGGACTGGTTGGGCAAACTCCCATGAACCCTCCACCACCCTGAAGAGGGTATAGAGCTGGTCCAGTGTTCCACGGCCAGGACGGAAACCGCAGTCAAAACCAGCCAGGTTTTGACTTCAGATAGCTATATCAAATTGCTTGCACAGGATAGAGTTAGAGGATAGAGTTAGGTGGAAACAGAAGATTCGCTGTTGTGACCCCTAACGGGAACAACAGAAAGAAGAAGAAGATATCAAATTGCTTACACACACACAAACTTGTACAGCTGTCTTTGTGAGGACCCTCTCTGACATAAGGCATCCCCAACCCTTACCTTGGCTTCAACCATCACAACTAAATGTCTAACCCCTACTCTGACCTAAACCTGACTCCACCCTGAACCCTAAAACCAAATCTGAACCCTGAAACAGGAACCTTACCTTGTTTATTTGTCTACTCATTGCTTTATGGAAGAACATTGTACATACACACTAGGAGCCACTGTACCAGAGTAAAATTTCTTGTGTCCAACACACCTGGCCAGTAAAGAAGATTCTGATTCTTTTTATGATTTTTGTTTTCTCTGTGCAAACAGTACAACAGAAAAACAGAGAGGCATACAGGATTTACAGAATTACCTTTATTTTACTACACAGACAAGCTGCACAGAAATAAGCATAAAAATAAAACAACTATTAGACGGTGGAGAAACAACAATTAGAAGCTGTTACCGTATACATACCATCAACTTTGGAAAGTCAACTGTAAGTTACAGCGTTCCAGCAACTTTTTGATGACAAGAGGTGTCCCTCCACAGATAACAGCATCTCCACTGGAGGCCAGAGTTCTTCCAAATGGAGATGCTGTTACAGCTGGTGAGACCCACAGGAACAACACAGCTGACAGAACTCACAGACCATGAGAAGGTGGTAGTATTCATTTCACCATAGGACTGGATGTACGGTTTTCTGCTGACATCTACAAGTCAGTGAGACAAATACATGAAGGTTAGTTTAAGTGCATAGAAATATTTGTGTGGTGTGACTGCAAATTATTAATGTGATTGTCTTACAAGTAAAATGAACATTCTCTTCTTTCCTTTGATGTGTGTTCAGGACCCCAGAAGAGGCAAAGATAATAATTAGTGATACAATAACCTTAAAATGCCAGATCTCAATAATGGTTCAAAAATAATTTCATAATACTGCAGACTTGAACTACATGGCAGCAGTGTAGTAAAAGTTTCAGACATGTAACATTATGCTGCCCTCTTTTGGTTGGACCTCACTGACTACATGAATTCAAACCATTTTACTGCAGATTGTATGCCCTAGACTCGTGATAATGGCCACCACCCACACCTAATAAAGGATTACTAAACACCCTTATGTGTTCTCATCTTTACTGCTTCTAAGATTACGTTACCCTCATGACACCAATAAAATCAGGGTAATTTAATTGTAAGAGGGAGCTAAGAGGGAGTGACATTTTAGCAAATGCATTTTAGTCTTTATTAAAATTAATCTTTTACATGTAGTCACTGATATGGCTTTGAACTCAAGAAGTAAAGAGGAGTGTCCACTGTTTCCTTATGTGCACCTCATCTTCCTAGTTTCCCAGATCCTCCCTTAGCTTATACTGACTGAACTTTGACCCGTAACCTTCTCCTTTTGTTGAAAAAAACAGAGTCATAAAGCAATTTAAGGGTATACTAAAGAGACCTTCACCCCTATTGTGTACTTTGACTTTGTCCACCTAGCCACAGTATATGCTGTCCCCGATAACTCTGAGCTACATGGTTGACTCTTTGCCTTCTGACCGGAGTCAGGTTAACCTAACATCTTAATTTCATATCCTTAACAGATTATATTTCAGTCAATCTTATGATTCCCCTTGACAACAGCTGATATGGTTTATGGACAGCTATAACAGACACAAGCATATTGAGGAGGAAGACTCTAGACTATCTGTCACTGAATTTAATTGTGAAAAGTTGATTTTAGCACTGTTAGCAACTGTACAAATTAATTTAGGATCAAACACAATCGTCCAAAAAACAAATTTACATAATTAAAGTCTGTTTGTTGCCTGACAACCAATAACTCAATCAGGAAGCATGTGGAGCTTAATTCAGTTGTTACTAATTTCATAAATTTCTTTAATAGCCATGTTGTGTCTGTCTTTATAGCCGTTCACTTCAAATGAGGCAGCAAAATTGGCCAAAGGGTAATTTGTGATTGGGTTTTTTACTGATCTAACAAAATTAATTTACTTGTGGTGATTACTTTCTCAAGATGTTTGCAGAGTAGAGGCACATTTAATCAATTCAAAATACAAAAGTCATTGCAGGATAACTCTAGAGCAAATGCAAACTAGAACTGTTCTCTGGTTTACAAATTAAATGTCATGTAACTGATATATTACAAAGTAAAACTGATTTTTTGATTACAAATTTTAAATTCATTAATTAAAGTATATCTAAAAGTTTCATACTCACCAAGTAAATGCTGGAAACAAGACTCACTTTAGTCATTAATTTTGAAAGCACAGGCAGAAAACAGAAAAACGGCCAAATGAGGAGATGTGAAACATGTGGAAGTGTGAGAAAAAGCAAGTCAAACAAACAGATGGTAAGTTGTTGAGAAAAGCAGTTAATGTGCAAGATTTTTAAAAAGAAGAGAAGACAGATGTGAGCAGACTGGAGTCTGTCCCCAACTAATGGCAGACGCCTGAAAGATGGCTGTTTAAGACTACACAGGGGAGAGAAAAAATTAATCATTACACTAACAGTAAATATGTAACTGATTCAAGCCCATAAAACTTCATTCTCTTTGACCAAATACAGGCACATGACGATGGGATAGAATCATACAAGATAGAGCAGTCAATACCGTATTTCTCAAAACACTCTAGATTGGTCCCTTTACACTTTTTCAGGCATTCAATGCCTCCTACCTATGCTTTCATATTTTCAAACATTATATAGAAATATACCTCATGTGAGGCAGAGGCAGTTCAAATGAACTAATTAAATATCAAAATGGACAGACCATTTTTCACAAGTGATGCACTCAAGAAGTGTAAGTTAAACACTTCCTGTTCTTTTTTACTTTCACTATAATAAACAAAGAACCTGTTGGATTTATTTTAAATTGTTTAAATATGTGTAATTGGCACATAATTTACCCTAAAGGTCCCCCCAAAAAATATTATATTAATTTAGACATTGTTTCATGTAATAGTAACAATTGCATCTGAGCCGGCAGCATAATCCGAACTGTCCGATTGCATTTATCATTAGCCTGAAAGCCTAGAAGGAAACAACTTCAATTTAGTTAAACACATTTGGACTTTGAAGAAGACTAGTGTGAGTAATGCACTTTGAAAACATAACTGTAGTAAGTAGTGATGTCTATTTTACTTTGGCAGAAGAATTTTTACATTTTCATGGAAAAGCTCACCTCAAATACAACTCAAACAGTGAGTTTTCTTTTTTGTAGCTGTTTTGTCTCTGCAAAGATTGTTAACTTGAATAATAATTTTCTCAGTCAATTAAAACACAAGGGGAACATGTGCTTTCTCACAACTGGTTAGTCATAACAAGAAGATACATTTAACATATTTACATACAAAGTAATAAAACTAAATCTTTTTGAAAACAAAAGTGAAAGCAAATCCATATTTGCTCTGCAAATGTACTTTGGTTGTGGTGCTGGTTTATAAGAGTAGTAACCTGAAAATATTTATAAAAAAATACAAATCACTGCAGCGGAGCAAAGTAACACAGCAGTTACATTTACCCAAGTTCTACATTGAAGTACAATTTTAAGGTGATTAGTCATCAACCGGAGAATTGCCATTAATGCAGCTACATTTCTGAATGAAGCAACATATATTTAAGCCACATTTATTTTACAGCAGCAGTTAGTATTTACTTCATAATATAATATATTGCATACTTAACTGTATTATTTATAAAGGCGCGTTTCTCGTGCTTTAGTATTTGACCTTTATGAGTTCCCGTACTGCTGAAGCGGCGTTGGTTGATGTGTGAGTAGCTCACTAATGTCTTCTTGAGTATATTAGCTGATATGACCTCTATGGGATATAGAAATAACACTTCTGTGTGCTTCTACGTGTAACATACAAAGTTACATTAACAAGCTAATGTGGTGAATAGCTTATTAGAGTCCCTGGTCGTTTTTAATCATGCTAGCGAACGAGACTTCCCAGCTAGCTTTCGCATTTTGGCCGTTAGCTACATAAACACCAATTTTAGCTCTCAGTACAACTTTAGCTATGATATTGAATAACAACAGTTAACCTGTGGTTAGCAGTGTTTTGCCAAGCTACTAGTTAAAGAAAGGGTAATATTTGTTACCATTAGTGTTAGTGTCTGACTTCAATGGCAATATACCCCCTTTACATTAACTGAGCTAAAATAAAGTAACGAGCTCTTGCATTGATTTTAGATAGTAATTTAAGTTAGCGTTAACTGAAGTTATTAGAAGCATGCTGGGTCCATTGTTGTGACCTACCTTTTATTAACGGCAAATAACAATAGAGTAACACTGAAGGATGATAAATCTTTAGTTACAATCTGTTACAGGTCAAAATGGCAGAGTTACCAACACTAGAGAGTCTGCTAGAGATGGGTTTTGATAGAAACAGAGCGTAAGTGACACCAAATTAATCATGATTAACATAGCTCTCAGATTTGAAACTGGTTTAAGATAAAATCAGACTCTTTGCCCCTTTTTGTTGTTGTTTTCAGGGAGAAGGCAGTGGCCAACACAGGAAACCAGGGGATAGAACAAGCCATGGACTGGTGAGTGTAACACACACATGAATAAACATCATCAGTTTAATCAGTCCAGCTCGCCACTCCCAGGAGAAACCAGCTAGTGCTTCTCATTTTCAACATATTTTTAATCCTGGTAATTGCCCTTGTCTTTCCTCTGTGATGCACTTTCCTCAGGTTAATGGAACATGAGAATGACCCAGACATTGATGAGCCCTATGTACCGCCTGTGGGAAACGTCCTGGGCGGAGAAGCAGACAGCCAGTCCAGTACAGATCAGTCGACACTAGGAGACACCCCTGAAGGTAAGGATGTGCTGTGCTTTTTGGGGGCAAGAAGGACCCTGGTAATGTTTTGGTTGTATGTTAGGGGTCTTTGGTATGCTGTGGAATGAATTTGGGACTGATCAGACGCCTCTCAGATGGTATGCCATTTAATGTGTGTAAAATGTTTGCATAGTTCCCTAGGTAGGCTAGGACTTTATTGATCCCACAATGAGGAAATTCCTGTGTTCCAACAGAGTAGCAACAAAACACCATAAGAACAAACACCACACACATATCTTGAGAAACAGATTCCAAAGTACCTAAAACCAAACAGAATATAGTATTTGAGAGACAATCAAGAACAAGAATGATCCTCCCACAATGAATCCCTGAGAACAAATCTAAATACCTAAGAACAAGACAAAATATAGTATTCAAGAAATCAAGGACAAGAATATAACTCCCATAATTAATCCCACAATGGGGTAAATACCTGTATTTCAGCCATGAGGATCTCTGAAAAACTACTCAAAAATACCTAAAACAAGACAATATAAAGTATTCAAGAGAAATCAAGGACAAGATTTTACACTTGTGCATATTTACAATACATTTTACCCCTAGGAGCTGAGTATTGCACCTCAGTTGACTATTACATAGTCCCTCATAATTTCACCTAGTTTATCACTGCATTGATGTATTGTACAGTCTGATAGCTGTGGGGAGGTAACGCTCCTTCTTGCACTGGGGATGTAGCAGTCTTGTGCTAAAAGAACTGATCAGAGCCTCCACTGTGTGGTGCAGGGGATTGGAGGGGTTATGCATGATGGATGTTAGTTTTGCCAGCATCCTTCTGTCCGTCACCTACTTGATGAAATCCAGAGGGCAGCCCAGGACTGTATATACTATGAAACAATATAAACTTATCTACTGTCAAATGTTTTATCACTTATTTTATCCATTAACACTTTTTTGACTGAAAAGATTGACTACATCAGCATATAGTGATATAAACCTGAATATATGTCCAGCACTAAATTCATCTTAGTAAAAATAAGATGCAGTCGCTGTTAACTTGCCAGAATATGATATATCAGCTGGTATGTTTTTGTCTCTTTGGCTCTGTATTCTTCTGGGGGTTTCAGTTTTTGTTCTTTAACTGGCATTACTTCCACCAAGGTGTGTTTGGTTACCTGTTAATGTTTTGTGCTTGAGGTTTCTCTCTTCCTCTGTTTCTTTTTCTTCCACTTCTCATGTGCATTTGTTTTGGCTTCAGAGATAGCAGGTGAGGACAGCAGCTACAGTGAGGACAGTGCAGGTGCAAAGCGGCCAATGACAGAGGAGGAGAAACGTGAGCAAGTTAAGAGGTCAGAGTACGCATGCAGAAGCTTTTGTTGATGATGATAGTGCATTGGTCGTATAATCTTTATCTACAAAACTGTAATCTGAAACAGTTAGGGTCTAGCAGTCAAAAATTATGTGGAAACACAGACACTTAACATGCAAAATTTTAAATAGTGTAAAATTAATGGTACATAAGCTGATGCCTATATCTGTTTTTCAGGTTAGAGGAGCTGATGCGGGTGAAACAGGCGGAGAGAAGAGAGCGTGAGCGGGCAGAAGAGGTGGAGAGGGAGAAGCTGAGGAGGAGGCAAGGCCAAGAGCTTCAGCAGATTCGCCAAAAACTGCAGGACGATGAAATGAAGAAGCTAACTGAGCAGCGTAGGAGAGAGAAGATGGAGGACAAACTGGCAAGGTAAAACCTTTATTAAGACACATTTCTGTGAAATTAAAAGTAGATTCAGCTAATGGTTAATGGGACACTAACCAGCTTATCATGTTTAAGCTGTAGTAAAATGATAGAGTATATTGATGATTAAAAGATGTTTCCACATCTTTTAAAGTGTTTTCTTGATTTCCCAACTGAATGTATTCCAGGAAGACCAATGGGAACATTTTACAAAGGGCAAAAATACTACCCTGATAATCGGACTATAGTATTTATTTTTTACATCATTACTCATTCTTCATGGATTGTTGAAAAATCAAAGATGTGGGCAGCAGTGCAGAGGTATAGAAGGAGGCGAGCAAATCACAGCAGATCCCACAAAAAAATAAAATCACCTACCTGATAGAATGCCTCCCTAGTTATTCTTGAAATAAAGTTAGAGAACAGCAGAAATACTATAATTTGGGAACATTCAGGTGGAAATCCAGAAACACAGGAGCTGGGACCAAAGTGACAAACCTTTCACTGAATCCTTTGAACTGTAAGTGTGTTGTTTTTATTCTTGCCAGGCAAAGGGTTAAAGAGAAGATAGCACGAGACAGAGAGGAGAGAGCGCAAAAGGTGCCCCTGTCATTGGTGTAGTTCAGTTTTCTGTTTTTCTTGTTCTTATCCTGTTTCTCTCTATTAACTTTTCTGTTGGGACCAATCATTTAGATGATTGTTTTCTTACTGTTTAGTTTGGAGGCAGCGGACCCCCAGGCACAGCCGCATCGTCTCAGCCTGCTGAGCCCAGCCCTTCATCACCCACCAGTCAGGGTCCTCCACCCACTAAGGAGTATGATGAGTCCAGGATACAGGTATATCCCTCAGTCATTTGTTTGCATCTTTAGTGCTTTAACAACTGTAGTCACTGAATAGCACTGACTAGAACAGAATTAAATCTGATCCCTCTTAAACAGAACAGACATTTAGGAACCATTACAACTTCTCCTGTCCTCTTCCTTACTGTAAAGGTCCGTCTGCTGGACGGCTCCACCATCAACACAGTCTTCAAGGCCCAGGAGCCGCTGGCGGCTGTGCATGTCTATGTGCAGATGAATGGCAACACACCTGAGGGTCAGGAATTCACGCTGCTGTCACCTTATCCCCGCCACGTCTACACCGACCTGGACATGGAGAAGCCCCTCAAAGAGCTGGGTGAGCAGGGGGTCATGAAACTGAAGAGCGATCACATGCCGCTGTATAATGTAGGGGGGGAAAAAAGTTTATTTCATCCTGTTCCATTTACAGAACTTAGTCAAAATTCTGCAGCAAGAAGTCTCTTAAAATGATCTTGTATGTGAAATGTACTGTTTACACCTGATATTTACATGTGATCTGAATGTTAAAATGCACGCAGAACGCACTGTGACTGGAGTGTGATACAATCGATTACACTATTTGTGAAGGTGGTCTGGTTCACACTCTGATCAGCTCTCATCCAGGTGTGAATGCAGTCTGTGCAGCTTGGAAAAGAAACTGTGCCTATCCAAAACATATGAACTACAACTATGACACTCATAAGAAAAGAAGCAATGCATCAGGTCTTACAAGTGCACCAGCTCCACCTTCCTTATTTGTGTATCAGTGAGAGCCAGTAAGTGTTGGCAGAATCGATACAACCAAAATGCACATTAATTATCATCATGAATGAAAACAGCTCGTGATCAGATGTCATTATCTACATAACATATTCAGATGCAGGTCATGTTTAAACCAGGTGTCAACAGGATCACAATTAACCTGATCAAACATGGGGATTACACTCTGAAAACCTCTGATCATGGATTCTAGTTTCCTTGTTGTGCAGTATTGTAGACATTAATTCATAATTGAAAGGACTTGCATCATTCTTAGAGAATCACACATCACGGACTGTATCTGACCTTTTCCCCAATTTTCCATTCTGCCTTTGTAGGTTTGGTGCCTTCAGCTGTACTTGTTGTTACTAAAAAGTGAGATCAGGAGGATCTGCTGTGAGCCTACCTCGCCACTTCAACCACAACACCAGAGACACCAGGAATAGGGTTGCCACCTTTTAGTATCACTCATAAGCCAGCTACCTGAACTAAAGTACAGATGTAGGCTTGAGGCTGCATTCAGGTGATGTGTAAAAGCTCTAAAGATTAAAAAGGTTGTATGAAAATGGTTTGATTTTTCCAGACTGATTGCAGCGCTGTGACATTGTGGGCTGATGTTACTGGCTAGATTGTCCAGCTCAGTGCAAACACCAATGACCTTTACCAATTAAGAGCTAAGTGAAGATAACTGGCTTCTGACTGATACTGCTTCAACAACATTTATCAAAACAACACAGAAGAAAATGGTTCAAATTTATCCTGATCCCTACATATAAATCTACCCCACAAGACCTACTCAACAGGTTCTGAAAGAACCTAAAATTTAACCCCTGTGATCTTCCTCTGTTTTTGACATTCTACTTTGCCAGTTTTTTTTTTAAATAAGTTATGTCTATGTAATCACCAAGAATATACTTACAATAAAGCTGACTTGGACAACTGTGATAGTGGGCTGAATTTTCTAAAAATCACACAAGACTTTCCTTAAGACAACCTGTTCATATGCTATATTCTTGTGACTGCTGAGCGGGTAGTGTACAAGGAACATTTTAAAGCTTTTTCACTGAAAACAGCTGCAGCCGAAAACAACCCTATGAGAGCAATAAATCAAAATGGTAAGCTTGTGGGCCAGACAGATAAAAAAAAAAGAAAAGAGGTGAAACTCACTGTAACACTGAGGGGAGCTGCAGATTCAGGTGATAATTCTCTATAGGTTCACTAAGAGTGACTGCTTCCACAGTGTAATTTGATATAAAAATGTTTTTAGTAGCTGCTTTGATAGTCTGATTACCAAACTAATCAAGTTATTTAAGAAGACACAGGAGCAAAAGTCCATTGGATAGGTAGGGTGAGCACTCCTGTTTTCATCATAAAGCACTGAAGAAGGCAGTGATACATTGCTAAAATATGAACATTCCCCTATCAAAGCAACTATTTCATGCAAAAGAAATTATATATAGACAACACAGAAGAGATCAGCTGTGACACTATAAAACACCTTTATATACATTAAAAAAAACAGTCTACTGTGTGGAATGGTACAAAATGTCAATCATACATTACCTTTAAAACTGGATAAACTAGACTTAGAAACATGAGCAGAGGGGTCAGCTTGCAAACAAATACAAAAATAGTTCTGATTAAAATGCAGACACTGATGCACTGAGAATGGCCGCCTCTGTTTCCTTTCCTCATTTTTCCACCTCAGAATCAACTCTGAAATGATATATGTTAGAAGAGCTTGATTCCAGCCTGTTATTTTCACAAATCCAGGACAGTGAGGTAACTCGGAGGAAGAATGAAGAGGAAACGATGCTGGGATTCATTTTAGCAGTACTGGACCAGGAGGACACACATGGTTCAGTTTGCTGCTCAGCTGAGAAGTCATCCTGGGTCTTTTTTTTTTTGGGTGCCACAATCACTGCTGCTGTCTTTAGCTGGGAGGATAGTAGCCCTGGTTGTAGTTCCAAGTGTTCTGGTAGCCGTAGCTGCCGTACTGAGGTTGCTGGACACAAATCACAAACAGAACACAATCTTAATGTGTCCTTTTCAGAACACATCCATCCTAACCCAAAACCTCTAAGTCATTCAAGGCATATCGGTTCAATTATAGATTTCCAAAAATTGTTTTTCATCTGAATAATCTATTTTCCAAATGTGTTAAAACCTCAATCGTACCTGGTACCAGCTGCTATATCCCCCATAGCCGGCCTGTGCGCTCATGTCAGCACCCATCACAGGAGGCGGCGGCGTGGTGATGGGAACGTGAGGCATGGTGGGAGGGACATGTGTGGCCACAGCAGAGCCATCCTCACTTTTGATCAGCTTCTCTGCATCCTCATCCCTAAAAATCAAATTATTACTGATTAAATGCAGATCTTCAAATTGCATTTGTCTTAAAATGGGGTCAATCAGACAAAATACTATGACCCTCTATTATATATTAAATACTGCCAGTTAAGAAACATTTGAACTCAACACTGAGTAAGTTTTCTTCCCCCTCTCACCCATTCTCTGCTCCTCTCTTTGTTCCGCCCAACTCCGTCATCAGTTTCTGGTGTCCTTCATAGACAGACAACACACTGCCGAGGACAGAGACAGGCAGTGAAGGACAACATTCAGGTCAGAGACTGTGAACTGTTTGTTAGGCAACATCAGGTTTTATATGAGCAATGGCATTTAAAATAAGTGTAGTGTATAAAAATATCCCTCTGTGAACTGTAGGCCTCTCTGTGAGAAGAGGATCTTGGTGTGTGGGGCGAGAGGAGCTGCCAGGGCTCGTGTCACACACTCCTGCACTGCCTCAGCTGAGGCCCAGGGGTCTCCTGACACCTCCAGCTCCAACAGGTTCAAGTGCAGTTTATCATTATCCTGAGGAAGATGGGGGCAATTATAAACTTCAAAGTTTGTATCTGTCTGAAGTTCCATCTTCTGGCTTTTTAGTTAAGGCACAAACATGTAGGTGCTTATTTTTCATGTGCTGGTACAACACAAAGTATTTGTTACAAAGAATATAAAAGTGTGGAGCACAAATATAACAATGTGGTGCTGATCAAGAGGCAGAAAAATGTAAAAGTGTTAAAACCATATGGAAATGACAGTTTTATGTGATCACATTTTCAGTTATCAGCAATGTTATGGACATTATCCAGGATATTATAAGGTGAGAGGACACTGATCAAAAGCCTGTGACCGTGTTAATGGATGAAATATCTGAATATTCGTTATCTCACCGGACTAATCTCCAGCGCCTCATGTAAAACTCTGCGTGCTCTGCTGGGGTTCCTGCCAAGTTTCAGCAACAGACGAGCCAGCTTGATTGAGTAGAAAGCGTGCAACGTGGGCTTCTCTTTGGATTCGGCCACCGCCTCCAGGAGCAAGGCCTCCGATCGGTCCAGCTGGCCCGCTCGCCTCTCCAGAGCAGCCCTGCGGAGACGGACCACCGCCAGACCTGGCAGATTTTGCTCCAGAGTCTCCAACACTCGCCGAGCCCCAGTTAAGTCCCCTGATGGAGAAAATAGAGCTTTTAATAATGAGCGAGAATCCTACAGAATGTGGAATACAAACATCTGTAATAGTTTTGTTTAAGGACTGATGTGTTGCCTCAAATCTACAGTAAGTTTTGAAGCAATGTTTTCACAATGGACTGCCTTATGTATGTATCTACTCATATAAATATATGGAGAAGAATAAATATTAGAAAGCCTTTCTATACAATGATTTTTAATACAACATCATAGCCTACAGGCCTACAAATGCAGCCAATTTAACTGAAATAGATTTAAGGCTTAGTATAAACACTAAAATCAGTAGTAGTAGAACAGGTTTATATTTAACAGGCTGTTCTCTCGCCTGTCCTGTGTTATGGCTGCACAAATACACAGGTGAACATGATGTAAAACGGGTATTAGGCCCCTAATTTGTCTCATTTACTTGTGAGCTATCACAGAATCTGTTAGCATCTATTTCACTGAATGCATCACAGCATAACTTTAACAGTCCTGAATAAAGCTGTGTCTGTACAGTGGGTGCATGTGCTGTCGTACCGTGCCTCTCCTCAAAGGTGGCCCACTGCATGTGGATGTTGGGCTTGTATATCAGGTGGATCTCACAGGCTCTTCTGTAAACGGCTCGGGCCTCGTCCACACTCTGCGGCTCCAGGTACTGAACATACTGAACACCACACCAGCACGTTAAACAGACACACACCGGTGATCATCTATATGTACATTCAAACTTGTACTTTTAATCTAGACTTTAGACTCACAAGGATTCAAATATTCTCTTGTGTAACGTTCCTGTAAATATGTTGCACACAAACACACTTTTTCTTACCCTGGTCCAGAACTCCTCATACAGAGCACAGGCAATCAAGCAGCGCTCATAGAGGATACGAACCCTGTGGTCATCGTGGGCAACTGCTGCATCCTCTAATCGTTCCTGAGGCTGGGTCATGACCTCTGACCCTTCTGTGGCTGCCTGGTTTGGATCTAATAGGGCACAATGGTGTCAAAACTGCAGATGCTTTTACATGTTTTCACAAACTCCAGACACCACAGAGATAAAGGTGACAAATGACAGCATCTTCATCATGTAGTCACCTTGGTTGGGGTCTTTAGTGTCCTCGCTCAGCTGAGCAATCTCCCAGTCCAGATAGGAGTGCCAGGCTCGCAGCTGATGTCTGTCGAGTGGTTTGACATGGAAGTAGGGCCGCTTGATCTGCAGAAAGGACACGAAAAGGGAGAGAAGACTGCAGATGTAAAGAGCTGTGCAATTTAATTAAAGTGTGTAACCAAAGAATTTAAACCAAACAACAAAACAGTAATAGAGCCAAATAATGTATTGTTAAATTTCTAGAATTGTTAATTTAGGAAGCAAGACCATTAAATATTAACTTTTTCAATGCATCACTGGTTTTGGAGCTTGGCTTCTTTTGCCAAAACTAAAAAATGTGTTGTTACTGGTCAAAGTAAGTTATCAATACAATTCTTCCAATGCTACCAAAGCACAGGTATCTAACATTTCAAATGGTACCCAGCCCTTCACTCAGAGCAAAATCATTTTGATATGAGTTACAAAAAAAGAAACAAAACAAAAAAGTAAATGAACAGGAAAGTCAGGAAAAACACAAGACAATGAGAGTAACAATAATGTAGAGTTGTATAGAAAGAGGAAACAAACTCACAGCATCTTCATAGTGCCATCTGTTGCGCACCTCTCCCTCGTTGTCCTGGTAAACTTTATCCCTGCGTACCAACACTTGTTCCCTGATCTTCTGCATCAGTTCCTCCTAAACACAGAAGAGAAATGATAAAAAAAAAACATGTATGTGACAATGTTAACATTTACTTATCTCTTGAATTTAAACACCTTTATTTTTCTCATTACACTTCATGCTGAAATCCACTCTGGGTGAGTGTGAGGCAGCCGGATGTTACTCACTGTGTCTGTTCCTTCCAGGGTGGTGGGCTCTTCTTCTCCCGGCGGCCTCTCCTCCTCCTCCTCCTCCTCCTGGGCCTGTTCGGCACACTCTGCCTTCTGGCTCTGGCGGCACAACATCCTCAGCTCCTCATACTCCTCCGGGGAAAGCACCTGTTTGGGCTCGTGGCTGCTCAGGTGCTCCTTGAATCTGATAGAGGGCAGGAGGGAAGACAAGAGTAATGTGAAAGAAGAAAAAGAGATGAGGTGTTCAAGTAAGAAGAGAGTATGCAAAAGATTACAATAGCATATTGATTTAATGCTCTCCTTAAAAATGTTTAAATAAAAACAAATCTGAGATACAGAAACATTGCATCATCACTTTCATGTCTCTGAATGGAGGTAGAATAAAAGAGATGACATCAACTAAAAATAACACTTACTACAATAGTAAACCTGGTACTGATAATAATGCATTTTACATCAGTATTTTGTTTCATTAATGTACATAATGAAATTCTGGTTGGGTGCTACTTGGTGGGTGTTTGTGGTCTTACTTGTCATAGTGTGTGTTGTAGAGCTGGGTGGGGACTTTGAGGACTCTGTCCAAGACGGCGGCAGCATTCCTCATGTTCCCCTGCTCCTTCTCCCACTCAACATACAGATCCCAAAGGCGGTCTGAGTGGAAATCTAGACCTGCTGCCGCAACCGCGTCCTCGAACACACTGAGTAATCAGTAAAACATAGCATTTTGCAAACTTCTGTCTGTACCAAATCTCATTCAGACTAAAAATCAAGGACAGATCAAACAAGAGTGTATTGATAGAGTTGTCATAAAAAGGAATTAACAGTGTATCTTCAAAATCGCGTGTATTGTCCAAATATGTTAAAACACACAAGGAATTTGCCTCTGGTACAGAGGCTCTCAATGTGCCTGTAAGTCAACAAGAAATAGGAAAACATGTGCATTTAAAGTAGGAACAGAATAGAATAGTTTATCTGTCATCAACTTTAGAAAAGTTCATCCTGTAAAAATAACTTATGTAACATTTACAGGAAAAAAAGATAAAATAAATGGGATTCTAGCTCATGATCACCAGCTTATCTGCATTTCCCCCCTTATTCTTTTCTTCAGCTTTATTACAATAACCATATGCTCACTAAACTGTACTCAGCACTAGAGGACCTAATTTACAATAAACTGTGGTTAAAAAAGGGTGCTCTTGAAGCAGAAAAGGCAAATTCTGGATGTATGGGGACTATTAACAACAAGTCTTAAACGCGTGCGTGTGTGTTCAAGTGTTTTTCTACCTGCGAATCCGCTTGGGCGACTCAGGCAGGTTCATGTCCAGTGTTCCCAGCAGCAGATTGATGTAGTGGATCCACAGATCTACACTCAGAGGGATTGCCTGAAGGCCCTGTACACACACCTAACACACCACACCACAACCACTAATATTACATTAGCTCACTCATTAAAAAAAAAAAAAAAAAAAAAAAACACTTACAAATCGCACTTAAAATTATTCATAGAGGTACAAAAGAAGGAACTCTCCTGCTTTACCTCTTCTGCTTTGTTGTTGTATCCTGCACGGCGCTCCAGGTCAGCAAATTTCTTCCAATAGCCATAGCAGAGTGGGTAACGAGCCAGAAAGGCCACTAGTGCCCTGCGTGACGCTGTGATGTGACTCTGGGCAAAGGAAAGAAAAGTTAAGTCCAAATATTACATGAGCCTGCAGCAAGTTTTCTGGCCAAAGATCTTGTACAGCCTTATCAGTTTGCTAGAAGTCAATATTACAGAGATGGTAATACATCATTACAGAGTGACAATATGATGGTTTCTGACTTTTTTAAATCTAAGTACCACTGGTTATCCTCAGTCTTTCCACACACCTCTTGCTCGCAGTATTGTAGCAGATCGGTCCAGCTGGTGAAGTCTTGAGGATTGTCATGGGCAGCCTTCCACAGACGCTCAAAGTCAGCAGGCAGTTCCCCATCTTCATCCTCTGCAACTGGAGGGATGGAGAAGGAAGCAGGATCAGGGCCCACAGGAGCCTCAGAGCCCATGGTCGCACTGCCGTTCTCTTCTGACATCTCAGCCATCTCGATTGGAGGAGGTGCTGGGATCTCAGGAGCCTCCATGGCTGAGGAAGGGAGAATTGTCACTGTCAAACAAGTAACTAATAATTTTTGTACTTCTGATCGTGACAAACACACTGCACAAGAATCTCACATCCTGCCCTCTCTACATCCCTGTCAACAAGGAAATCAAAACACAAACACAAAGAACTAAGACAAAACAACTGCTTCATATTTCTGATAGCTATGTTGTCAACAGCACCTGCTTAAACATTTTAACATATTAGACTTTCCTCAACCTTTCCTTTTATTTAGCCTAATCTTCACTCTTCGTGAGGAGGATTGGTGGCTTCACTTTGGACTAAATAAAAACAAACAAGTTCAATAGCAGCACTGGACAAGCAGTTTGTTTTGGGAGGTTGGATTCACTTATTGTAATTACACTGAACCTCCATAGGAGAAGGTTGTTGTTCAAATAAATGCAAGATGGTGTAATGAACAATTCTAGTTCCTCTGCTTCGTGGAAAAAGGTTTGAGATGTTCAGTGCAACATAAACAACAATGCATAAAAATCATGCATTCCAGTAAAGTAGTAGTATGCTCAGTGTGCGGACTTTAGACATCAGTACCTCCACTATCTTTGGGTTGTTGTGGATGTAATACAGCTAGATTGTGATAAACAGTTCCAAACCACTTTGTTAAATATGAGAAGGTAGGTTAGTTAAAGTTAGTTTACAGGAAACCGTGCTGTTTCGTGGTGCCTGCAGTTGAAATCACGTTAGCCTAGCCTAGCTCAAAAAGCTCCAAGTCCACTTGAATCTGTCATTCACAATATCGGAAAATGAAACCAAAGTTCAACTATATCCGCAAAGCGGCACATAACCATGTACTGTAAATTCAGTGATGTTAATCAAACTAACGTTACCTGAAGACTCCTCAAGCTCCCCATTGCCGCTCATCTCCTCGCAACCTACCTCCGCCATGATGGACAACGTCTAAATGACGTCATTGAAATGCGACAAGAGGAACAAATCACAACAGAAACCTTCATAGCGCAACTACCAACTAATAAAATCACAATCGCTGCTATTATACGAGAAATGATAAGTTTGTATAAAGCATCATGTTGTTAATCCAGCATCTACACCAATCGTCTCTCAGATCAGGTGAGCACCGGCGTCTCCCATCATGCCCTGAGCCCTTGCGTTCGGTGGAGATTCTCCTGAAGTGCTGAGCAACACAACTGAGCTTTTACTGTGAAAACTCCAAGCCATCCTTGCATTCGGTGGAGACTCTCCTGAAGTGCTGAGCAACACAACGGAGCTTTTACTGTGAAAACTCCAAGCCACGCTTTTACGCGCCCCTTCTGACGATTTTTACATGAAGACAGAAAAAGTCAAATGAGCACATTAACCACCCAATTCTACTTTCCTCATTCAAACTTTAACTTCAATTAAAAACTACTTATTTTGTCAGATAAATAAGCAAAAAGGCCTTTTCCTTTTTTTATTTTAAAAATTGAAAATGTAGACGTTTTTTCATTATCCGATTTCCCATTGGACTGAAGAGAGAATACACAGATTCGCTACTAATCATTTTTTGGACCGTTTGTCAAATACAACAATGGTGGGCGGTTTTATTGGCAATTCTCACCTTTTCTTGCATGTAAGAATCTTTGGTAGCAGCCCATCAGTGTTTTCTACAGTCGTTTTTATCGTGAGTTACATTACGGAACGTGAATATCATACTACAATGATCATTAAAAAAAAAAACATTTTGGAACTGACATCTCAGTAATTAAAACCTGTAGGCAAAGAACAGTGAAAAATGAGTTTTTTTTACATTTGGTCAAGTTTATTTTCACTTGGTCTCATATTTTAGAGTACATCTGCCAACTTTGACAGCTGAAGAGTTCCTTCACTTCCATTTCCACCAGATCAAGCCATCTCCAACAGAATTGCAGCAACATGTACATTTTATGATCATAAAAAACAGCAGACATACAACAAAACCCCTAAAAGGTTAGATGATTTATCTAGACAGGACATAAAGCAGATTCTCCAGTGAATGATTTGACGTGTACAGTGATTTTTGTGTAGATCCAAAGGATTTAAATGAATATTTACTATTCATTAAAGAGCCAAATGAAACACTGAATACCCTGGCATCTACAAACACAAGAAAATCTAAACTTTAAAGTTCGCATTCTTCAAGTGCATTAAAATAATCTAGTAAAAGTTTGAAAAATAACTCAAAACAAAGGAAACTAGTCAACAGGGTAACCCACAAAAGTGGTTCGGTCCCCTGAAGTGATGCCACTGCCAAGTTTGTTCAGAAGAGCTGAATATCCCCTCTGCAACAGCTGAACAACCTGATCACTTCCATAATGAAATGATAATGAATCGTTTCCATGAACACAAATTCACCACTGAGGAATTCAGGGAGAGGCTACACAAGAAACTGGCCAGGATTGATAAGAAAGATGTTAATTCCTTACATTTTGTGGACTCAGGAAAATTAAGAACTGCAGGAAGAAAGCTTAATGTAGAACCGCAACGAAGACAGTTGGCAAGCCTTCACTAAATATGTGAAATGTGGAACAAGTAAAGAAGGTCAAGCTCCTAGCTCACTGAAGTGCTTGGCTTCATAACAGAGAAGAAATGGATTTTTGTATCAAGTCAAAAACAGAGGGAATTACCAGCAGGTGGAGCATGTGCGTTAAATATGAATCTTCATTTTAAACTGTGGTTTTTCTTCTGAGGCAGACTGGGTGGAAAAACAAGTTTTCTTTCTTAATCCCAAAGATTCATTACAATGATTTGAGTTACTTAGTTGTTATATATCTGGAAAAACATGACAATGATCAATCTAGTAGTAATCACATTTGTTAGGTATTATACTGCGACCGAACACAAGAGTCATGGCAGAGATCTACAGGTCTACATGGGTTTTTGTGTGTTTGCAGGGAAGACAACTCTGTAGTCATTGTTGTGTCTATCTTCCATTTTGCCTATGCTGTCAACTTGCTTTAGTAAATTCCTGGGTGTCAGTGCCTTATGTCTATTCTGTCTCCTGTTTAGTCATTTTCTCTTCCTCCCCCTCCTCTCTGATCTCACTGGTTACTGTAGTGTCACGGTCCAGTCGGCCCCTGCGTTCATGCCGGGCTTGCGGAGTGTCAACACAGACATGGAGGCGTCAAACTCAAACTCTAGCTGGCTCTCCTGACCATCTGCAAAAAGAAAACATGCAGTATTAGAGAAAGTAGGCAGGGGAAAGGGGTATGTGAATCTCAACCCAAAAAGGGGGTTTATGACTTTAGAGGTTGCAAAATCTCACACAGCTGGACAAATAAACTTGCAAAAACAAGGAATAATAAGATCTTTGTACTACTGATGTACAATTTGACCAGCTGAGAATCTGAAAACTTTTCAACATTACAATTCATCCTCCCCGTGGTTTCATCCCCCACTAGGTGCGGCTGTAGAGCAGCTCACTATGGTGCAGATTTTTTGCGTAGGCTATACTGCCTTGCTTTTGAGCTTCTACAATGGATAGGCTTCATAGTTAAATGGTTTGTCTGTTTATTGTTGTACTGTAGCCTACAGCTAACAGTTATATTTCAATTAATGGTTAAGTCATTACAAAAAACAGACCAAAGATTTGTGGCTGTATTTTAGTTGTTCAAAGTACATTCTTCCATATCGGCTAATTATTTTGCATCTATGTTTCACATAACATCTATCAGAATCGTCAGAAGTGGAACCCATCAAAAATAGACCAGACACTTATCTTTAGCAAAGTGGCACAGAGAGCCACATCTAAGACACACCACAGAAGCACATGGAATCACAAGCAGACCAGACTGGCAGTGACCGTGTCAGACGCAACACAATGCAGACGCACCCGGTGGAAATTAGGTGTAAGTTATAAGATAATGTTTCAAACCATTTAGCGACCATCTCTTTATATGAAACTTAAAAATATGACAGAGCTGTAAGCTGTTTGTTAGCATGTGAGAGACAAGTTTTTTTTTTTTTTATATATAAACATACACTACTCACCAGCAGTCTTAAGGGTAACCTTTCTCGGCTTACTGGCTCCAAGTAAGACAATGCGTTCGATCCAGGAGTGGGTAATAAACTGGGCATCTGGAGCGAGATTACTGCAGGCCAAGCAAAGACATGCATGCAAGGGGTATTACAATTCAAGAAGTGTGTAGGTGTGTATATAAAAATACTAATCATTAATACTTGTCTGAAAACCTTAAAAAAAAACGTCATCCCTGCTCTTACTGATGCTGTTTTTCTTTACTTTTAATCACAAAAACCAGCACTTGTAAAGTCTTTAATTGGCTACTTTACATTTTATAATAAATATCCAAGAGCCTGCGGGTGGATTTTTATTTAAAAAGATGCAGATTTTCTACTGAAGTGAAACAGTGTATTCATCACTCACACAGAAGAGAGGATGTTGTTAGCGAAGGACAGCCTCCTGTGGATGAACTCCTTCTTTTCATAGTTGAAGGTGTGGCCATCATCTATGTAGAGCTCACCCTCTGCAGTTCTCTGTCAGACAAAGAAGTCAAAGTGTCAAGTATGACAGCGCAACAAAATATGTCAAAACTGCCATGGATCACAGTTGTCTTGCAGGTGCCAGTAGAGTGTGTAGATTTCAGTTACCTGGGGATTAAGAGCCACATACAGAGTGTAGGGATCATGCTCCATGCAAGAGGAGGACCTGCGAACTCTAAGCTTTCTGGGAATAATGGAGCCACCACGCTGGAAGACAGGGACCTGATAACAAAACAGAAGAGCCCATTTTAAAACCAGAAACAAGGAGGAAATTATTAAACAATGCTGAGGGCCTCAAAATATAGAAAGGTATAAGGGTAAATTATTGCCAAACTATTAAACACAGCCAGAAGAGTTTGAAAGTACTGTGTACATCTGTGTGTGTCTTACAGAACTCATGGTGACAGGGATGTAAAGGTTTTGGGCCCCGTTGTGCTTCTGGAAGGTGTTGACATCAAACCAAACCTGAGAAACACACATGCAATGACACAGGTTAAGACAAGGTCAGGACCAAGGACACCTGAATCTGCAATCATGTTACTGACACAGTGTCCTGTAAAAAAGTCTTTTCTTTACAGGGTCGTTTAAGTATAGGACTGAAGTTAAGCCTGAAGACACCAGAAAGATACTGTAACTGTAAGATGTGTTAAAGCCTCCGGTTTTCTTCCTCTTACCTCATTTTTGCCAGGCAGGTAGGCGGTAACTCCCCTGGCTCCCTCCTCTGTAACTGGGTGCACCAGCAAGTCTCTCCCTGCGGCAGAGTTAAGCAACTTCAGTGGAACCGATTAACCATTTCAAACCATGTCTGCCTTACTATCATCACTGATTTCAAGTTTTCATTCTGGTTTGTCCTCTTGTAGCTTGGGATGTTCACACACCAAACTGGCCTGAGTCACACCCATCACATACCATCACTATGTCACAACAGTTCAGTTGTTCTTGTGCACTAAGCTGCAAAGAGTCTCCATTTAATTTGATCAACAAATGAGCCAATGCAGTGTTTTTTTGTTTGTTTGTTTTTAAGAAATATGTAGTCAAGATAGAGAAAAACATTACAGTTCTGATATTTTCTCTCTCACCAATCAAGAACTCATCATCCACGGCGAAAGTAGCAGGATCCTGAGGATACTCCACCCACAGTGGTCTGTGACAGAGATGTACATGTGAGGAGAGCAGCATCAAGGAAATTACAATGCTTAAATTCTATAGGTCAGCATGACATGATTCATGACACTTCTGCACTCCCCAACCATGAGTTTGTCACTTTGCCACATTATTTTAGTGTGTACAGGGTTTTTGCCATTACTTTGTATTAATGAATAATAAACATGAGAAAATAAATGCACATAGTTTGGGCATAAGAGGCTACTTCAAAAAAAATCCAGAGCATACACCTAAGAAAGGCAGGTACCAATTTCTTGATTCAATGGAGTCAACTAAATTCATTCCAATTTCTCTGCTCTGTCCTCACCTCATGACCGGCTGTGCGGTGAGGTATGCCTGGTAGAACTGCAGGTACCAATAGGGCAGGAGGGTGTAGCGCTGGCGCACCACTTCACGGATCAGCGCTGTGTTTTCTGGACCAAACAGCCAGGGCTCACGGCGGGGTGTGTCCAGGTGGGCGTGGGCCCTGAAAAACGGCTGGTAGGCCCCCGTCTGGTACCAACGCACCAGCAACTCAGTGCTCGGAGTTTTGAAAAAACCGCCAACATCAGCTATGAGGTAGAGGGGGTAAGCGTTAGTTAAGTCTGGGCTATTCATAGCCTATTACTATCCCAGTATGCCTTGGGAAAATAAAACAGCCAGATACAATATCCTCTATTTTTAGAGCTTGTGGCTGGAAGTGAAAGGCGATGGATGTGATTCTCTTGTACTAAATTAACTTTATTTAATGCAGAGACAAACATCTGATCATGGATACGAGTCTCAGTCTCATATACTGTCCAGAGAATAACAGCCAACATAACTGCAGCTAGATTACCCAGGGAACCTGTGGCATCACCATAGTAACACCTCATGCAGTTTCATTTCATGTTTCCATGACAACATTAACACACCATTTAGATGTGCACCCAAGTAAATTCATTCACAATACTCATTTAACACGGTTTTCACTGAAGACATTTTTAGTATCAGAGCCCTGCTTTTCTAAGCAACAGCGTCACTACATTTCTCTGTTTACTTTTGAGAAGTTCTCTGAACATTTAGTTCTTCAAATAAGTCGATCATTTTATTCTGACCAGATAAACTAGTGTAACAGCAGACAAAGAGCGCGATAACACTCACCACCACAGAAGGAGATTCCAACCAGACCCAGGCTCAGACACATGGGGATAGAGATCTTCAGATGGTCCCATTCAGCAGCATTGTCTCCTGTCCACACAGCACCTGTAGACACACTTTAAACAATCAAGGCTTTGTGCAAAAAATAACCTGCAACAACCGTTTTCAGGCACAGAACCAACAGTGTTAAACACTCTTCATCTATACAACACACTAGGGCTGCATGATTCTGGGTAAAATATGAACCATAATTATTTTCCATTTAGAACTGAATCATGACTTTCAAGTCTTGACCAAGGAAATGCTGTCATATATACAGTGTGTGTTTAAAAAACAAAAACAAAACAAACACATATCAATGTAGCCTGTCACCCAAACAGTGAACTTTCAGGCAATTATTCAGGGAGGCCACTTTCACAACATTTGATTTGATTTGATTTATTCATTCAAGCATGTAAAACAGTTGATTTGTCAACACATGTAATTTCACACATATCCAACAATAATAATCCAATATCAATTTACTTATACCTAGTACATGCTTGAACGGAGTAGGAAGAAGTTAGACTTATCCAGTCCTACCCCATGACATCATTTTACAACTTTTAAGTCCTAAGCAATATCTCTAGATAAATAATTATCTTCTACACCACACAAGTAATATACTACAGAATTATTATTGTGCTAACATTCTACATAATTACATTCATAGATAATTATCTTCTACGCCACACAAGTAATATACTAAAGAATTATTACAGAGTGCTAACATTCTTACCCCACACCCACAATGTTCCATCTGATTAATCATTAAACCTGTTCTTGCGTGTATCTTGATTGACACAAACCTTTATACTTATGTTTAACATTGGATCCACTGTCAGTAATTATGCACATTAGCTTTTCCTCTTCCAAATGTGAACCAGTAAGACTCGTCTTTAATCCCTGGAATTTTCAGGGTTTTTAAAAAAAAATATTCAGACTTCATTATATTGTGTTTTGTGGTGACCAAGTTTCTCATTTTACCATCAGGAGCAGCAAAACACTGCTGCCTCTGTCGTTAGATTTGTTTTGAACCAGTCTTCTCTTCCTGTGTACAGTTCGTCACATGATGTAATGCATTCCTGTTGTTGGTTAACACATCTTAGCGAGGAAAAGGGAGCATTTGGTTTGATGCAACAATCTTCCTGCTAATGTAAACACGACAGAACCGTCATCACGTGAAAATGAGATCACGCAGGGGTCAGAATTGAGATCGAAAAACGAATTATCATGCAGCCCCACAGTACACAATCTCTGGTTACAGAGTGGTGGCCTTTCTTTACAGCATGCTTTAATTTAGGTTTATTAAAAAAGTAAATCAACTGAGGCTACGCAGAATGAAAATAAAAGCAGTGAAGGGCTCACCGTAGCGCTGTGACCCAGCAAAGAAGGCTCTGGTCAGCACAAATGGTCGCTCGGTTCCTCCTGACCTCTGGATCTGACCCTCCGCTGTAGCCATTTGCTGCAGATTGTACACATCATAATCACTAGGGTGGAGGGGTACATTTTTACCCATATCATCTGATTTAGAACAGATTTTGGGTCTCTTTAAAGTATTACTAAACCATACAATACTAAGACTATTTTAAATTCATAATGTCCCACATGTTATTCCCACTGCTTGAAAATGGCAGCAGGAGGCGACATATCATCTACAAAGTTGGGAAAGTTTAATGACTGCTCAATTTTATTTTGCCAATACATTTATTTGTGGTCAGAACTATTCTACTGGTTTCTGTGCAGTACCGGCATTTTCTGTGAGCTGAGAAACACACACTGGAAATGTCATTCGTCATTTTCTCCCTTTAATCAACTACAGTGGCCCACAGGGGACAGTAGATGCATGCATGAACACTCAATCACATTCAAATGGTTTGTACTCACCACATAGAAGCCATAGATGTTGTGCACATCACGGTGCTCCCAGGCTCCATGCACTGCATCCTTGTGCATTGTGACCTCTGGCCCATTGAAGACTGATGGCTCATTCATGTCATTCCATGTATACAGGTTCATCATGGAGCCCTGGAGAGTGAACAAAGAAGGTGCACACAAGTTGAGTCATGGCTACATTATGGAGAAAGATCCATTACAAATCCATGAACAGATTCAACAAACCTGGAAGGTTACAGATTACAAATGTCTAGAAATTCTGAGTGAAAGCGGCTCCCAGGTGAGAATGTGCTAATAACATGATCCAGAAAGAGAGGATGCGACACTTTTTAGTTAAAGAAAAAAAAGGATCCGGTGTTGTGCTTATCAGTGTGTGTTCTTCAATCACTGTCCACATACAGAAACAGTCAACATACTAAATCTTGTGTACGTCACTTGCATATGTATTTGCAGATTAGTGACAATTTATCCTTTGCTGAGCAACAGAGAGAACTGTCCTCAAGACTTGCCTCGTACTGGTCGTAAGAGAACATGCTGGCCCACCAGGCCCTCATATCTGCTCGTGTGAAGTCTGGATAGCCGGCATTACCTAAATGACGTCAGCCATCCCAAGGAGACAGAGGAAGGACAGAAAGGAATGTAATCATTGTAATAGTTAAGATTAAAGCACTATCAGAAACACGTCAATATAAATGTCAAGTTTGTCTATGAAGATCCAGTTTATACAGTACACTTACAAATGTATTTCCTACACATTGTCTGCTAACAGACGTGGAACTGTCAGTCTCTTACCAGGCCAGCACCAGCCCTCATAGTCTCCACCATCTTTATTCTTTATGTAGAATCCCCGAGAGCGGATTTCATTATGGATCTTATAGTTGGTGTCTACTTTGATATGAGGGTCCACAATGGCCACCATCTATTAAAAACCAGTTACAGATAATTGAGCAAAGAGTCATAAAGGTCTTAAAACAACTGATGACAAGTTACTTCAAGAATGTGCCTGCAGATAATTTACTTGACTGAGAGCACAAAGTGGACAGCAGCACAGAAGTGGTTAATTTGTGGCAAGAAAACCCTCATGAAGTCGTGGATCCTAACACTGTCTGCTGCAACAGTGATGCTGAATTTTTTTTAATTTTTTTATTTTTTAATAATCCGCACCTTGCGTTTCTTGTCCATGAGGCCCTGCAGCATCTCTTTTGGTGTTGCGAACTTGTGTGGTTCCCAGGTGAAGTAGCGCTTCCCATCTGTGTGCTCAATATCGAGCCAGATGAAGTCATACGGAATGTCATGCTCGTCAAAACCCGCATCCACTGCCTGCACGTCTTCCTGGTCATTGTAGTTCCAGCGGCACTGATGGTAGCCCAGGGAAGCCAAAGGAGGGAAGGACTGGGTGCCTGAAGGAGCAAGACAGGTGAGAAGGTGAGACTCAGAAACTGATGTTTTGTTAAACTACACAGACAGCCACACTGGTATCACTGTTCATGCTTGTGTTGACTAACAATTATGTCAAATAAATTTAAATAAGACATTAGCCAAAACCTAAAGCATAACATTATGATGCAAAACACTAGACTTGCACCATAAAAGCTCATTAAAAACAATTACCAATTAAACTATTCCTGGCAGCTTATCAGCATTAGTTTTACTTTACAAACATTTTATTTTATACATTGGCCAGTGGATTTGATGCATAATAAGGATTTCAAGTGGCATACTAAGGTGTAATCCAGGCCACAGTGTAGCACCGAGACCCTTTCACACAAGCCTTGAAATGCGAAAATGTTTGGTAGTCATGCACTGCTGTGGAAGTGGATACTGTCAAGAGGCAAATGCAACAAGCCAGAGAACAAACCAATGCAATGAGCTACACTTAATTTTCTGGAGTGCATTATTAACATCAGTATTCAGAACATGTATCGAGGCTCAGTGAACCGTAAAAAGCTCAGGAGACTCTGCACTTGGACTCTTTGGAAAGCAAGGCCTTGTGTTCATTCATCCATCCATCTTCCTACCAGTTAGGGAGGCATACTGAGAGAAGACATCTTTGGGCGTTGGTCCAAGCATAATGAAGACATCAATGATGCCACTTTCAGAGATCCAACGCACATCTGTCTGTGGCGTCTCACTGGAGCCCTGAACATAATCCAGCATTTTACCAAACACCGTCTGGGGAAGGACAAAAAGGTGACTTTGTGCAGCAGACAAACCATAGCAGCTATGACTCAGACCAAAACAGTAAACTGGAATTGAGTTCAAACAGTCAAAATGCAGGTGAAGTTCCTCATCTCCTAAACAAGTTCCTGACCGCTTAAAAACATTTCTGCTGTGGAGAAGCAATACCTTTCCAGCTGTGTTGGAGCTGATGTCCACCCAGGTTTCTGCAGCATTGAGCCAGAAGATGCCTGTGGTCCGCTGGGCGCTGTGAGCCAACATAACTGGGACAGCTCCGTACAGGGCCATAGGGTTATACAGCTCATACTGGAACACATCCAGGTTATAAAGCCGATACGGATCTCCATTACTGCAACACACAAACACACAGGCAGTGAAAACTATACTGTAGAATGTGGAAAAAAAAATTCAGGCTCAATGTGAATTCAAATCCATGTTGTATGTGACTTATTGTTGCCACTCACTCTGTTGTTTTGAGCCTGAGTGTATCTGCATGTTCTGGGATGCCATATACATGCTCTACCCCTGGCAATGAAAAGTCTAAACTAACAGCAGAAGGACCTGTTGGACAAGAAAATCCAATAAACAAAGTCATAATTTTATTCATGAAATAATAGTCACAGCGATTTGAGGTTTCTGCATGTCATTTAGTTAAAAAAAACACACCGTCATCACTTAACACAACCTCACTAACACACACACACACACAGGTTTTACTTACCATTAGGTTTGCTGTCTGTGTATGATTTAAATGTTTCCTCCCACATCCCATCTTCTTTCTCTTCCTCTTCTTTTATTATCTGGTAGACAAACAAACAGTATCATCATAGGAAGAAGGTGAAATGGTGTTTGTTTGTTTTTTTTACATTCAAGAGAGGAAGAGGCAAAACTGTGGGTATTTTAGTATGTAGTACCTCTGCCTGGTCTGCCGGCTCAGCTTCCTCTTTCTTCTCACCATCTGGATCTGCCTGACTGCTCCGTGGCACAAAGAATGAAGTGAGGGGTGAGGAGGGGAGATGGCAAGCAAAGTAATGTCATTTTGGCAAAGTCATACAACCTAGTAACAAGTGACAACATATGAGAGCGTATTTCAAACTATGATAAAAGGAAAAGGACATACATTCAGAGAGACTGATGATTGGCCCTCGACTCCACACTGACAACACATACACTATAATGACTTCGCTTTAACGACAAAGGGGACTGAGCAACTCCCTACCTTGTGGCTATTTCAAGCTAGGCATCATGGGACAGGAGCTCTAGAGCCTGCAGCATGTACCACCTACAAGGTGTTAAAAGGACCAACTGATACCCAGTGGATTTGATGCATACTAAGGTGCAATCCAGGCGAGGGTGTAGCACCAAGACCCTGTCACACAAGCCTTGAATTGCAAAAATGTTTGGTAGTCATGCACTGCTGTGGAAGTGCATAATCTGCAACCACACACATGCAAGAGGCAGTTGTGACTAGAGATGCACCAAATGCAATTTTATTGGCTAATTCCGATGCATTTTTTTTTTTAAGTCTGACCTGCCCTTTCCAATTTTCTAAGAACTAAGAACTGACAGCATACAGATATTTTTCTACCTTTTTTTTAATGAAAAAAAAAAATAAATAAATAAATAAACACTATTAGAGTTTTACTTTTTCTGGCTCTCACTCCTTTTACAGACCAACTAAAAATGAAGTGCAAGTACTTTTCCAAATATAAACCGGTGCAACAGGAGGATATCTGTTACATCAGTCCTACTGAGCACACAGTTCTTTTTTTAAGCTTGTGTAATTTGTATTTGTGTTTTACCCCAGGGTTGGAAACACTGTACATATACATGCATTTAATGTATAGCCAGTAATTCCCTCACTGTGTACCCAAGTTCAGAGGAGATTTGAACATAATTTTCCTTCCTCAAGCTGTTTCTTTAGGTTCCTCTGTGCACTGTTTGTACACCAAGTGCTTCCAATGTGAAGTGAACACAGGCTCAGTATACACACAAGCACGAGTCTCACTTGAGGTACACGCGAGGTGCTATGTGCTGCAGATACTACACCTTTGGCCTGTGCCACTGTGTGAACAACGTGGACCGTCATGCCTCTAAATCTGACCGGCACAGAATCACATATCTCAGAGTGATCGGCAGGTCACCAGTCAAGGCCGGTCACGCAAAAAACCGACCATTTCCCCACAATTGGTGCATCTCTATTTGTGACAAAGGGTTTTTTTGAAAGGTTGTTAAAGCTCAACAGCAGCATGATATTGTGAGGCAGAACATTCTTAAAATATAACAATATAAACTGAAGCATAACCACAAAGAAAGATGTTGCTGTTGAGTTTGGGAGGTGGACAGTAATGCCTGAAAATAAGACCACCTGCTGGGACCGTCTACACGAGTGAAGACAAAATACTTCACTCTTATTTGCACTCTAATTTAGTGCACAGTGTGCACTAGCATTATTTTCTGACTATTTCAGTTAGCTCTCACTATAAACTGAGCAAGCGCAACATAATTTCAGTCAAGATAACTGGTAAAGAAACCTAGTTAGTCATGCAGTTGCAGTGTTAGATCAGTTTAGCAGATTAGCTGCAGGAGGGACACTAGAGATCTGTGATTTAGTTAGTCAGACGCTGATGTGACAAAACAGTGGTGTACAGGAAAATCACCGCTAGACCTACAACATAACCCCCCGGTTAAATGAGTTTCCTGATGATCAGGATGATTTTTTTTCTGTTTCATGAAATAAAATTAAGGGGAAAAAAAGATTAACATCCTTAGTTTCCAACACTGTTTAAATGATCCTTCAGAAATACAAAATTGATAACAGGCAGGGCCAGACTGACTGCTTCAATCTGGAACAAATCAAACACTGCCATGCACACAGTCACCCACACCCCTCTCTCACTCACAATTATTTGAGGACAAGTACAGTACTTGGTGTAATGGGAGTCCCTACAATTTTATGTCACCATTGGCAGCATTAGCACAAGGAACAGAACACACACAAATCTTAAGGGTCTTTACCTAGAGAATACACTCTTGATATTATCCCACAGGCTAGCCACTGTGCTAGTTACTTTATAGGAGAAACTAGGACGACAGGGAGAAGAGGACAGAACAACGAGTCAAAGACAATACTCAAAAAAAAAAAAAAAAAAAAAAAAACTATTTCATGGGAACAAAAATAGAAATCATCCCCTGAGTGAGGACGTGGAATCAAAGAGAGGGCTGGTATTTGTGAAGGTGCGTGCACTGCGTGGTGCCTCACGTGTCCTTGCGCATCCTCAGGTGCTCAAAAGCCAGTAAGCCACGCGAGTTCAGTGACATCAGCACATCATGTCCCTCCATGATGTCCAGTCGAAAGGGCTGGGCGCTGACAATGACCCTCTGTGACTCGGCCCCCAGGGACAGCACCACCCCGTTCTCGTCTTGAGACAAGACAGAGAGGCTGAGGGAGAAAGAGGAAGTGAAGATTTAGTTTTGATCAAGTGAGGACAAAAACCAAAGAACTTAATTAGAAGTCTTTCACCATCTGTTTATTATCTAGTCACTATTTATCTACCCCAAAACTGGAAATACTGCAAGTTTCCCAAATTAAACCCTAGTGAAGCCAAACTAAAACTTCAAGGTTAAAAATTTGAAAAAAGAGCAGGATAAGATCAGAAAGCAATTATCTGAGAAGGTCAGCTCTGTTTGAAGTGGGCTCTTTTGTTTCACTGGATGAATTTACATTCAGCATTTCAGTCCTCACATTCCTGCCACTTTATAGTCGAGTCACACACCGTGTATGCCATGACCCACAGCAGAACATGTGGATGATTTGCTTCCTTACGGTCACTGTCAAATTTTATTTTTTTTAGTCAGAGTGGTAACTCACTTTTGTATACGAGTCACGTCTTTGGAGGCATTTATTTTTGTAATAGGTCTTTTTCACAGCAGCTATTTTGACCCATCATGGCAGGGAAAGCACATGTTACTAATAACTACTGTCTATTGCTTATTGTCCCTGCCGCCATAAAAAATCGACAACAGTGATGCACAATACCAGGACACTGAAACTGAGCCAGCAAAGAAGAATTCAGCCATCATTAATTTTATTATTTGCACCTGTTTTTCAAAATGATATACCTATAATCTCTTCAATATTTGTTACTTTGTCTACTTAAATAAAACATATATTGTGTGTATGTCCATCCGACAACAAGGATCCTCCAGAATCACTCTTTCTGAAGTTATGCTCCCGTTTTTAAATTAATATAAAATTGACAATGGCAGGGCTACAAATGTTAATTTTGCCTTTTCAGCTTGACTCTAACATCAAAACCGCCACACACACACACCCACACACACCCATACCACCCAGCCATTAACTCCCATAAGAGACATACGGCTCAGTATGTGGCTCTCTGATGAGCACATCTGGGACCTCATAGCGAGGCTTCAGAGGCTTCAGCTCATTAATCTTCACTCTTGTTATGTTCCCCTGGAGGCGGTAGAGCTCAAGCAGCAAACGCACCTGAGAGCCAAACACATAAAAAGAGAAGGAATGGTGGTGGGGATACAGGAGAAGCAAAGAGGGTACAGAAGAATTTCATTATTGTCGCATAAAAACTACAGTAAAACCAAAACACATTTCATCACAACCATTCTGGGAAATGGCCCTAACTGTCAGCATGGCTTAATTTAGAACTTAAATTTTACATTCAAAATAATATTAAAAATGAGGAAAACATGCAAAACAAGACATCTGCAAGACTTGAGGTTCAAAGTAGTTCTTTATCAAACTGTTAACGAAAATCCACCTGTGTGAACGATTTCTTGATGTGTGGTTTACCTTATTGTTGTCATTGATGAGCTGCAGGGTGAGTCTCGAGTTAGTCAGCTCCATGGTCTCCAGTAGGGCTCGATAGGGAGACTCACCAGGCTTCAGTGCCCGCTGGCGCCTGTTTCAATTTTAAAACCAAGCGTGGACACCAGTAATCATGTTTTTCTTTGTCAACACAATTTTAAGTGAAAATATATATACATGTTCCTGTATCTTTGCACTCACTTGCAGAAGGCACTCTGGTCACATGTCTTGAAGTTTCCCTTGTCCACAGCCAATGTCCCACAGAGGCACACAGCCAGCCAGAGTACCAAGACAGGTGCCATCCTACAATGAAAATTAAGACGAACTACACTTTTAAATGGTTTAGGCTACCAGCACTCATCTCTCCAATTCATTGAGTCACATTTGGTTGAGCAATGCCAAAGTAATTACCCAATAGCACCCTAGCCAAACGATAGCATACAGGAGTTAAGATTATAGCAAACACAAAACCACCGACACACATCCGGACTTTGCTCGCTCTTTCTCTACGGTGGTAAAGTCCCTAAGAGAAATGTAGTGCCAGAAAAATACCACAAGCAAACCATTTCCAGTTTCTTCATCCTGCTGCAGCTATAAAGTGTGACTTTATTGCTATTCAAACCAGTATCAACAGTTACGTTTTTCACGCCTACGTGTAGAGACACATTTCCATCCCCCAGTCTCCCGTCAAAAATCCGGCTGATGTGGTGCTTGAAACTAAGCCAAGACACGGTATTAGCTAACGCATCCGCTAAAGTGGGATAGCTAACGCGCACTCGGAATTACGGGGAAATACACAGGAAACAGGAACTGATAATTCATTTTAAGACATTAGAACATCGGCGTTTTGCGTGTGGACGAACGCCGAACTGCCTGACAACACTGTTATCGGTAATTGCGTCTTTTTATCAGGATATCAAGCTAACCTTCCGAACAGCTACAGGCTGCCAGTCAAGCCGCTAATTCAATTGGGTGATCTCGACTTTTCCAAATATGATCATTGTCCCTCGTGGTTCTTAAACCCTGAAACAATAACTCCGTTCACACGTTCACCAAGTGCGCAACTTCAGTAACTATCTCTGGTCTACGGCGCACTGATATTACATCAAACAAAAGATAAATCCAAGATGAAACAGCGGAACTGCTTTGTCTTACCTTTCATTGAAGGTGGCCATCTTGATTTTGCGCCCACTAGACTCCGCCCATTTCACTCCGCAACAAAGATCGTAAAAAGTCAAGATTCGCAACAACTGACAGAAAATTTTAATACAGCTTCTTCTTTTTGTAAAACTGTAAACTACACAATATTATAACATATTAACAATCTTGCAACATCTAGTTTGGGGAAGTGTTTTTACTCAACCATTGTGATTTTTTTTATCTGATTAATGATAGATCGACAATGCATGTGAACTTAGTTTGAATATTTATCCTTTCAGCCACCGACACGTCATCTACAAGCTCCAATCACTGACGTCCGCACACTTGTCCTGGATTTATTTCCATCCAATACAACGTACAAGTGGTGGAAACACGTGTACAGTCATTGCAACTCACTGCAACAACGTTAAGTCAGTTGTCAATTTTTTTTAGGGCTGCAGCTAAAGATTCTTTTTATAATGAATGGATTATTTTCTCAATTAATCATTTGGTATAAAACATTAAAAACAGTGACACAATATTAAAACATTTGCTTTGTCCAGTCAACATGCAAAACCCCCAAAATATTCAATTTACTGTTAATGTATGACCAAGAAGTGCTGCTAGTTGTTTACACCCAGAACCAGGAATCATTAAATGGCGTTTCTGCCTGAAAATGAACAAAACAAGTGATGTAGAACCAAAGACTTGCAGATTGTCTTTTTTAATAATCATTGCAGCTCCACTATTTGCGCTCCATTTTTTTCACTTGTACACTGTTTTGCACTTGATTTTGTTCTGACATCCGGGGTTGTCCTTTTCTATAGTACGATTTGTCGATTTATTTATTTATTTTGCTTATATTAAATGTAACATCACTGGCCCCAGAGAAATGAGATTTCAGTCCTACTGTGAACATGCATTTGGATGGTTTGACAATAAAGTTCTGGAGTCTTGATTATGTGGCTTAAAGGATTTACAATATCTAAAGAACATGATAATACTTTGTGGTGATCAGTTTAAAACAAAATCATGTGGCAATCCATTTTAGGATTAAAAAAAATGCCCAGATCAAGACACACTCAAGGACCAAATGAACATTTATTTTAGAAATTGGTTGAAACAATGTTGTGTGTGTATATGACAAGAATTGCCAGGTATGCTTGTAGCTACAATTTTAGAACATGAAAATTATATAAAACAAGTTCAGTTTTCTAATTGAAATGACACATTTAACCTATTTAGTGTGGAGCACATTCTGTAGTAAAATAACATACATATGTGTCCCTTGTTGCTCTCACAGAAACAACTATATAGAAACATATAATCTAAAAATATGGTACAAAAGTCTGCACACACATACACAGCTATCCTTGTATGAAATTGAAATACAGTGACAGCAACTTTGCAGTCCACTCTTAGAGCAATGTAACATGGTGTTCCAACAATTTTACCATCTTTTTTCATTCCCTGTCACCTGCGCTTCCCAGCTCCCCTTTAGAGCTGGAACCGCCAGCACAGGTGTCCCAGTCTATCAATGTTTTTATGCAGGACACTGTGAATTGGTGCCACGTATCTTGCTACGTCACCATCCCGTGAGAAATCCCTGTAGAAGAGGCCCTTCTCTGAGCTGAAGACAAACTTCTGGGGCATGGGCCCATTGCCCCTCACGTACTCCCACACAGCCAGGAGCAGCAGCCTCACCTCGAAGGGAGTGAGATGGGGGAATGCTTCGTGGACATTAGCCAACACAGGAGGCAGGAGCTGGCCCTCTCCCATGCAGGACACCAGGAGACAGGATGCCTGAAGGTGCCATGGGGAGTCTGTGGATGACACTTCACGGGATGCTTCCCAGTGGGCCAGCAGGGTGGCCAGGAGGCCCCTGAGCACAGCTGAGCAGTAGCAGAGAGCCGGCCGTCCAGCTGCCACCACATGAAGCAGAGGAAAGAGCACTGGGTGGGCCTCAAAGCAACGTCTGATGTGGATGTCTCGCTCTACTGTGGTGCGGGCATGCTCTTCTGGGGGCCAGGATAGCTCCCCGTTGGCCACATCTGGACAGACATTTTCTACCAGTGTGACTGCAACAACTTTGGCTGCCTCAGCGTTGATGGGCGGTGGCTCATCAGGATCCAGTGGTGGTTGTGAGCCATTGAGGCCACAGGAGCTGCAACACCGGACTATGACAGTCAGCAGAGTCTGGATATTCTACAGAAAAAAACAGAAGAAGGTGGGTGACACGTTTCCTGCTGCACCACATCAAACCCAAAATACCTAGAATTATACTTTTCACACATATTTTAGTACCTTTGATCATTTTCATGTGTTGAGACAATAGTTACATTCATGAATCAAAAGCAAAAAGCACATGCAATTCTATACATTTCTGCACATTAGCAGTGTTTGCAACATTCTTTAGCGGGCCACCAACATAGAACTAGCTCCACCTAATACAATTACTTTTTCCCTGTCAAATGTTTGTAAGAAATTGTATTTCAAGTTCAAACTGAAAATAATCCCATAATTGTGCATTTATGTCCTACTGTGTACAGAAAAATTACTTCCCTAAAATGTTCAATAATCCACATTTTGCTTGAAACTGTCCAACTCACCTGGATGACTTCAGATGGGTCAGGGACTGATGTGGAGGTGCGCACCTTCAGCCCCTTGCCAATCACCCCAGCATGAAATACAGACCATACACTCCCAGAAAAGTTGACAGTAGTGCCAAACCGACAGTTGATATCCAGAAGGGAGGCTCCAAGGTTGGGGGACACGGATGGGGAAGCCACAGGGGCACCAGACATATCTGCGATCTGCCCTCCAAACAGGTCAGCATTTCCTTTATGTAGTGCTCCCTCAACCAGTTGTTGAAGTACAGCTTTGAGAGTGAAGGGAGAGTATGCTGCAAAACGGGACAGAAGCAGGACTGAACAGTTCACCGCCTCGCCTGTTTGTCCACCTTCTTTCCCCACCTTCTCGCCTTCCCCTCTCCTCCGCAGCACCAGGAAAAAATGGTTGACAGCAGCACGGGAGAGCAGGAGCAGGTGTGCTGGGGAAGACGTGTGAGGGAGTGGACTACAGGACAGGAGGCGCACTGCAGCATGAGATACAACTGGGTCACCATGGAGAAGGAGCGGGCTAAAATCATGGAGGTGTCCTGAGACCGCTGAGCCCACCTGGATGGCCATGGAGGACTGAGCGCCCACTTCTCCTTTTCTCTCTTCATCCTGACTCTGGATGGCTGCGGCCAGGTTAAGCAGCAGCTGCCTCAGCTGCCAGGGCCCCCGGGGGTGTGTATGGA